CATTTTGTAGCCATTAAAGCTAGCATTTTAGTCCAAAAAATGCTTATATATAAGCATTAATTAAAAAAATGTAAAATGACCTTTTTGTTATAGCTTGTTTTCTAATTATTGAACAAAAGTACTTGTGTCTTTTTATCAAATAAGTAGTACTAAATGAAGATATAAAATAACCATTTTGCCTTTGCTTGTTTTCCAACAAACATTAGAGAGGGGCATTTATTGTCCAATGAAAATTTTAAAAGCTAGGAACACCTATTCACACTTTTATAAATAGTATAGATAAATCTATACTGTATATAAAAGTGTGGATGCAGAGTGGAAGTTTTTTTGGACTAAAATTACCTTCTATTTCTTTATTTGAGAAAGGTTATAAAAGTTATTTTATTACAGATTTAATGCTAGCTTTAATGCTACTAAAATTCTCATATTTGTTAATTTAGTCCATCTCTAATTGTAAAGGTTAAAACTGTAACTTTAATTATTACTTTCCATTGCTCTAARCCCCTCTCATTAAGTTTTATACATAAGTTATTAACTCGCATTTTCTTTTATTAAATCCTATATTTAAGTTATTTTTCACTAATAAATGCTACTAATTAGATCAATGTCAATATTTTTAACAACATAAACTGATATATTTTAAAATTSACTAAAAAACAAAACCATTCTCTATCCAAGTGGTGGCTAAGCAATTTAACCATTTGAATCAAATTGATAAACCTATGAAGTTATAATTAGGTAATAAAATTTTTAAAATAGAAATAAATATAAAAATTACAAAAATGTAGAAAAATTAGAAACATTTATGATATTCTTATTAATCAAATTAAAAAAATAATTGTAATAAACAAGAATTATTTTTATTGATAATGAAAATGAAAAACAATTTAGAATTGACCAAAAATGAAATTATTTTACTATTTGGAAAGATTAATAGTTTAACTTTTGCGTCAAATGTATTAACATTTAATGTCATAAATAAATAATACAAAATAATAAAAAATAAAAATACATAAATTTTGCAAAAAACAAAATCAAGCACATGTATAGTATCATATAATTAACATATTAAATAAAAAGTGTGATATATCAGAATTATTTTTACACATAGAAATACAAAAAAGAAATAGAAAAAAAATGAACACATTTATAATATCATTATTTTTACACTACTATTAAATATATTAATAAGATTCTGGAACTTTCTTTTGATTTAAATACTCATTTTTTAATTTAGTCCCTATTTAATTATGAGGTTTAAATTGTAAATTGAACTACTACTTTTCACCTCATTCAATTCCCTCTATTTAAATCTTACATTTTTTTGATAAATGAACAAAAAAGGATACACTAAAAAAATAAAACATTACGAAATGAAGAATCTGGCCAAGCAAGTAGGCCTCTCAATGATACTTAAAACTTCACAACCCGATCTGATTATTACATATTTGGATGGGTGTATATGTAATCATATTTGGATTTTTCAATTTGCATCCAATTAATATCTAGAATTGCCACGTGTAAAGGACATGCACTCTTACTAGTTATTATACATGCATGCATCATGTATAAACCCTTATGCCTCTAACCTCTATTATTATTTCTTATTATCATTTGTAATTTTAATTTTAGTGAAACTTATAAAAATCATTCCACAAAAATGATATTGAGATTCTTATCATGCATTCATTCCGTTGATTGGCCTACTCGACTCAACCCAATTTGATCATGAAAGTTGGGTTATTCAGTTTGGATTAGGTGTAGGATGCATTTGCCTAGTCTTTTTATGTGGTTTTTCAAGATTTTTGAGATTAGAAAACCAAAATTTGGTCTTTCTCTATTTGACAATAAAATGCATGAAGTTAGAAAGACCTATGTCCTAAAAAGATTATGGAAACCCAAAATGCCCAAAAATCCAAAAGTTTCAACTAAAACTCTATCTTTCTGCACCTAAAATCTTTCATTTAACAGCTTTGTAGATCATTATAGACTAAGACACTTAGCAAATGGTTTAAATCTTTAAAGACAAGACTCCAAAAGTTCATTACATCTTTTGGCCATCTAAGCTGTCAGAAGATCTTCCTAAAAAAGACTTGTCCAATGGCACTTTACAGTTTCTAGCATTCATTTTTGATAAGTAAAAGAAAATACATTAAATAAACAAAGGAAAGAGGAAGAAAGAATTTACAATAGGGGCCCAAGACCACAAAAACCAAGAAACCCCAGACCC